ACTATTAAAAGTTTGCGAGGAATTAAATTATAAAGATTAGTACAAAAAAACAAAAAAACAGCGTTAGATCTGTCATTCCAACACAGAATTATCACTGGCTTGGGCTAAATAATTTTACACTGATCCTGGAAAGTTTCAAAGCATTTTCCATTGAGGAAATTCGTGCATAAATTCTAAATTATTAAGAGTTGATGTTTCAAATGTTTTGTGTTGTATATAATACTTAGAATTAATGAGTGAGAGATAACATCTTTTATTTAGGACGATTTAATAATGAATTATAATGTAACGTATAAGTTATTTTGTGTTAATAAACAAAATATTGCTCCAACATTTGAATTGTAACGAAACTGTATACATTAAATTAAAAGTTTATATTAGCTAGAACTGTGGTCACAGTATTTTGCATATTTTCCTGTATGTCTTCAATATGTAATCAGTATCTTTCTTATTTTTCTGGGTACACCACAGACAGCCCACTCTGTGATTAACGACAGATAAAACAACATAATACTTATTTTTCTATATATATCTAATTTATGTATATTTTCCATATTTCGCTATATACTAACTAGATGTAAACTTCCTTACCGAACATTGGTTTTCCACACCAAATCTAGTGTCTCCAAAGAACCTTCTTCAGCAGAGTCCTGTGCTGTCATACCAGCATTGTTAACCTGAAGGTAAACAACGTTTTTTAATGTTTTCCTTTTCATTTGTCCGTTTCGAATTCAAAATAGGAGGCGTGTAAAAATATTATTTGTATTACAAATGTTAAGCCTTTTATTACTTCTAATGCATCGCCAGCTATTGGTGTTTAAATTGTAATTCTTAATGTTGACTGAGTTTGTTACCAAGCCACACCCGTTATGACGATTTCTTCACGTGAGAGAGGCTCTTTTTTTCCTCCCCACCCGTTTCTTACATCTCGTGAGTACAGAGAAATACTTTAGATGTGAAATACATATATCTTAAACTGATGTCCTTGCCCCTGCTAATTATCACGATCTACAACTACCCAGTTTGAAATCACTGACCCCTTTTTTTTAGTACTCTAGACTCATCTTACGCTAGCGGTTGACAGACATTGGTAAGTAGATGAAGTGAAAAACGATCATAGGTTTTAAATTCCTCTGTACAACAATTTTTGTCTATCCCTTCCTCTTCATTAGTAATTTTAGTTATTGAAGGACGAGTTCTTCCCTTTTCCATTATATATTCATTTAATAATTTTAGTTAGTAAGGAACGTGTTCTTCCCTTTTCTTCTGTTTTCTCTCGGCTTAATAAATTTGATATGTAACATAAGTTTTTTACACTATATATACTCTCCAGATGTAGTGACAGTAAACATGAGTGGTTATAATATAAAATCATTGGGGTGGGCTCAGGTTGGATAGCCCATTCAGCAGCTTTACGTTATTTTTTTATATAACATCGCTTTTTTTAATAATTTATTCTGGTAGTGAGGAGTATGTTATTTGATGACTGATGTGGGTGTTTATTAAGATTGTTTAACATGCATATGGGAGAGGGAAAACTGGGACACGTTCCTCCCTGCCCCATGGAAAGAAAATTGTATATTATAAAAAATGAACCACCATTTTTTGCATGAAACTAAGACATTAAAAAGATGATGACCGTCAACTAAGTAGAAATGTTTAATTTAAAACTAGTTCAAGTCTCGTTCCTTTACTGGGAGATTAAGTGTTTGGTCTCCCCTCAAGGCTGGGCTTTTAAAGTCTAGATCTTGTCTAGAATATATTGTAGTAAACTTTGTAGGAATATGAGTTCTGTGAAAATATAAAAAAAAATACAATACAAAAATAGTAATATATGTTCCAGACGG